TACTTTTCCCTCGGACATTTTATTACCTATGGTAGTGGTCAACTCGAAAGCTTATGGCTACTTTGACCACTACGCACATTCAGCTTAAACCTATTGATTCTATAATATTATTTATTTCTCTCCCTTTTTACTTCTATCTGAAATGATATGTACAAATGAATGAAAAGTGCAAAATAAAATGAATCTGAATCTGAATAAATCTGAAATCTGCTTGTTTTGCGTATGGGGACTCGCCTGCCTCGCGCAGACAAATCTTCTATAAGTAAAAGGCTTAGTCTCACTTTGAGCACCCTTTGAGGCATGCTAACTTTCTTAAGGTTGTTATGCTGGTGTTGTTTTTGTAGTAATAGTTGTTGTTATTGTTGTTGCTTGTACGTTAGCTGCTGCATCCGCTCCCTCCCCCCACACACGGATCAGCTAAGGAGATAGGTCTCTTACTTCCTTTATGCACCCTTTGACTGTTAATCACCCTCTGAGGCATGCTAACTTGCTGGTAACAAGGGCAGCGGTAGCCAGGATTTTCGTACAGTAGCTGCCACTAGGGGCAGCACCATACAGTGTACGCGACGCAAACTGTACGCAGAAACTATTTGAACTATTTTTGCTCTAAAATTGACCTAACGTATAACTATGAGACCGAAAACTTGTTTTAAAATTTTGTGGAGACCTGCAGAAGTGAGTAACGGCCGGGGGATATGTAACGTTTGTTTATTCACACGCAAAGACGAAATAACGCTAGCCACACCGTAATCGGAGCTACCAGATATGCTTGCTCTATAAAATCGGAGCATACCAACTAGAATCTAGAATTATTTTTTTATTTTTATTTTTTTATTTGCTGTAGGCTTCCGCGGGCCGCACAGAACCCCGTAGAGGGCCGCATGCGGCCCGCGGGCCGTAGTTTGCCCACCCCTGATCTAGAAGGTCTACAAGTTTCGTCTGTATACATATATTTAACGTTGCAAACAGTAAATATGTTTCTTACCTATTCCCTATTTTTAAAATGAAAATAGAAAATAGGAAATGGGTTTCTGACCCGTTTCCTATTTTATAAGTCTAAATAGGCAATGGGAAATGCGT